CTATCCTACATGTTATTTGGAATTTATTATGAGATTCTCACACTTCCATATGTTAGCATGATAGATGCGGTACACCGTGTGTGATTGAGATTTGCATGGACAAGGTTGCAGTTTAATTTTGAAAGGAAGACAACGAGTTTTAGACAGCATGGGAGATTCAAATGTTTAAGAGGATGTTAGCACTATCTTGTGTCGCCTGATTAGGGTGTTTTTGGCATTAGATGCATTATGTGATGATCTGCGAATGCTTGACTGGTACTACAAAAATCGCATAGTTGGTGACTATTGATGTTCAGCTTTTCCTACGTGGCACAGAAGATTTATGGGAGTACCTCTCATGAGATAATTGTGTATGAGTGACGTATCAGTCATTTGAGCAGGAGAGTTGGAGGTCAGGTATGGAGATTCTTGTATCCTTGAGGTTTAGAGGCTGGATGTTCTCAGAGGCAGATTATTCCTTGGTTGCAGACTGTGAAGGTATGTTAAGAGTTAGACAATTGATGATATGTGTTACAGATAGGTTAATGTGGACTTTTGGAAAGTTATTTGCCTATTTCGGGACGATTGAAAATTAATTTGAATGCCCATTGGTAGGCCTAGAGAATATGTATTCTACATTTGATCAGTTTTTTTTACTCAGAACTGCAACTGCTGGGGTGTGTCATCAGCTAGAGTAACTCTTCTTCGTGTCCTGATATGTTTCACGTGCTACTCTTTCATGCTATGACGGGTTGTCAAACTACTTGACTATTCACATGCATGATTTGGTTCTGTTAAGCCTTGTGGCGAGATTTGAGCGAGATGGTTCTTGTGGTGCTGAGTTACTTATTCTACCTTAGTCGTGCTTATCTTGTCTATGGTATGTTGTGTTCTCCATTTCTCCATGGTTATGGTCATGCACTTCGCGTGTTCGTCATTGATACACATGTGTTCGTTGATTGTAAACATTATGGCTTGTAGGTATTCCATATGGACCGATATATTTGGATCGGTTACGCGCCACAACAATGTTATTTTCGTGTCACGACCCTAAATCTAACTAGTCATAATGGCACCTATTACGCCCCGCAATATTACGTCGATATTACGTCCCGCAGTATTATAATACGATGATGTTACACCCGCAGTATTATATTAGGATGATGTTACGCCCAGTATTACATTACGATGATGTTACGCTACGCAATATTATATTACGACGATGTTACACCCTATAGTATTATACATGAAATTGTCGTAAGATAACTGACCTTAGTTCAAGGACAAGATTATTTGGAGATTATAAGCAGTTATACTATTTATAACAAGAGATAAGTAAAGCGCCATGAAGGTTAAAGGGTAAACGAATCAAAGAAAATGAGTTGCATGGAAGGTTGTCATTTTGGAATAAAATATGGCCCGAGCTAAAATACCCAGTATATATGGACTAGTACCATACATGGTACCACATGGCCATGATAGTAAGTTGTATAAAGTATATTAAAAGTGAGTAGTATTTTAAGTAAATTGAGATAATTTTTAATTAAGTGGGTAATTGGTTAATTATTAGATTTGTGGATAAATATTTAAATAAAATTTGTTGGATAGTTATAAGGGGACAACTATACATGTGGGGGTATGTAAGTGTGACAACAAAGTGCCAGCTAATCAAACCTAAAGGAGGAGGAGGCACAAAATGAATCAAACATGGATTTGCTAGAGCAAATATTGTAAATAAATACAATTTTCATTGATAGAAGTTAGATGCATTAGTTTATGCATAAAGAAAGACTCCAGCAACGTTATTGAATCTTCCAAATCAAAGTTAGAAAAATCTTGCAAACAAAACCAGGTCCACCAACATCCAAGAATGCAAGTGAATAAGCAGCGGGATTTTGTGATTCTAAGGGAGTACGGTGCAATCTTTCTCAAGAATATCATACGGATTTTTTCCTACTTCGATCTCGTTGTTACGTGTTTTATCGCAATTGACGTGCGCTAGACGGATTGTCAAGAGAATCGACTCAGGTATGTTAAGGCTATCCATTCTTTCTTTTTGGCATGATCTATACAACACGAATGAAACGAGCAAATGCATAACTTCCATAAAGGACTCTATTCATAGAAATACTAGAGATGCTTATGTTCTTGATTCCCCACGTGTCATATTATTCTATCATCTTTTCATGGGTCTCAAAAATACGTAAGTTGGTAAAGTTTATTTCATGATATTAATTAGAGGCATAATAGTCTTATGACGTACCGAGAGATTTTATTAACGTATTTCATATGCATTTCATGCATTTATACATGCACATTGACCTATGACCAGATGGCGTTATATACGCGTATATATATGTATATGGGATATGGGAAAGGTTATGGCATTATATACGCACCACCACCTGATCAGTTGGTATACGTTGATTATTTTGCCCACAGTGGCCGAGATGATATGATGGGATGCCCTCAGAGGCTTGATGATGTTATGAACACATGTACCCATGCATGACATGACATTCATACGCATATGCATGACACTATAAGTATTTCATGATTTACAGAGCTATCCAGACTTACAGGTTGAGTCATTTACTCTATATTTCTTCCATGTCTTTTATGTACTTATTTATGTGCCTTACATACTAGGTACATTATTTGTACTGACGTCCCTTTTGCCTGGGGACGCTGTGTTTCATGCTCGCAGGTCCCGATAGACAGGTCGAGAGTCCTCCAAGTAGGCTATCAGCTCAGCGGAAGATATTGGTGCGCTCCATTTGCTCCGGTGTTGCTTATTTGGTCAGTATAGTTAGGATATGTATTGATTGGTATGGCGGGGCTCAGTCCCGACCTTTATGATACTTATGTAGTCTTAGAGGCTTGTAGATAGACGTCATGTATATGGATTCTTGTATGGCCTTGTCGGCCTATGTTTTAAGTATATAAATGATCATATCGGCCTTATAGGCTCATATGTCATATGTATAAGGTTATATTCCCTCATGCTTTACTCCGGTTCATTTACATGTGATAGAATGATACAAAAGATACGTTACGTTGGTACTCAGTTGAGTAAGGTACCGGGTGCCCGTCGCGGCCCATCGGTTTGGGTAGCAGTTCTGTCCTAAGGAGTTTACAAGCCGTGTCTAGTAGAGTCTCATTTATGGGTGTGTCGTGCACCACACTTATAAGCAGGGGGCTATAGGGCATTTAGGACTATCACTCTTTCTTCTTACACTGGATCGTGTGGGAGAGCTCAGTTGTAAGAACACAATTTCCTAAACTCGACCTTATTCATAATACGGCGATGCCTACATTTAGAAAGATGGTTAGTAAGGGATTGAATGCGGTGGTGAAAGAGTTGAGTCAGAAGAACTCGGTGAGCTTATGGAAAAGGAGCCTTAAGGCAAGAATATCTATCCACCTTTATGGTGAAAGACAATGAGAGATTCAAAAGATAAATACAAGTTTCAACAAGTAAAGGAAGTAAGGTGAAAGAGGGTACGAGGTACCCAGCTAATAAAGATTATCCTTATTTACTAATCAGGAAGAGAGATATAAGCATTTTGAGTTACCTTCAACAGTAACAGAGGTATGTTCAAATATATAATTAAATTAGAATTTAAAAATGGAAAAAATGGCTCGGCAGGCGCACGTTAAGCAAAGCTAGCTAACGTACGCATTCAAGCCATGGCTCGATGGAAAAACAAAGGTGAGACACCGACAATTATACCGGAGAAGGAAGAAGGAAGTAGATTAGTAACACCAGAATCGGGAGTACCTCAAACATTAGGACAAATTCAATTAGGTCAATGGTTGACGGGAATGGGAAGTGCTCCCACGGTGATGCAGACTTCAAAGTGTAATGAAATGGAGATTCAAAAGAAAGCGGAAGTAGAAGCTAATTCAGCGGCGAGGAAATTGACATTCTCTATGCAGAAAGAAAACCCTAGTCAAACAGCTCCAACGATGGCTGAGGTAGTGAAGGGAAATCGATTTCAGCAGCAAGGGATTCAATTGGAATACTATCCGCCGATAATGAAGGAAGGAACAAAGATTGTTCGATTGAATCTGAATGAGGTGAATGAACAAACTCAGAAATGGAAGGCAGCTTTAATTGGGTATGTTCTAGGTGGATCACCATCATTAAAGGAGATGCTTAAATTTGTGTATGGAGTGTAGAATTTTGTCAATATTCCACAAGTGTACCTACACGATGAGGGCTATTTTATATTCAGATTTAATACTGAAGATGATAAGAACAAAGTCATTCAACAAGGGCCATACACATTTCAGAACAGACCTATGATCCTGAAACAATGGGACCCTGATTTTCAGTTGAGTAAGGAATTGACAAGGAATGTGCCTATTTGGGTCATTTTCCCTAGTCTACCAATTCAATACTGGAGCAAGGAAAATTTGGGTAGGATTGCTAGTTACCTAGGCAAACCTATTTGTTCAGACAAATTAACACCTAACTGTGATAGAATTTCATATGCTCGTATCCTAATTGAGATGGATACAACACAAAAGCTGCCTGATACTCTGATGATTGAAGTGGCTGATGGAAAATACAGGGAACAAACGTTAGAATATGAATGGAAACCAGTATTTTGTGAGGAATGCCTTCAGGAAGAGCAACATAAAGAAGGGTGTTCAAAAGTCTAACAAGCACAAAGGTGGGTTGACCAACAGTTTATGAAACCAAAGAAACAGTAGAGGACAAAGAAACCAGCAGGACAATGGAGAGTAAAGATGGTGGCAGAGAAAGATCAGGAAGAGAAGAAAGACAGATTGGAACCAAATCAAGAGGAGATTATAGAAGCAGAATACTCACAGTAGAAGAGAAGAGGCAAACAAATCATGAAGGATCAAGGGAAGATTAATCAGAAAGGGGCATTGTCAGATAAAAGTTTAGAAGATCTATCAAACAAAAACAGATTTGGTCCTTTGAGAATTCAAGATGTGTGCAGTAGTGATAAAGTGACTGAAGGGGTTGTCCTTAATAAGGAGAATCTACCATGATAGTTAGCTCATGGAATATTAGAGGGCTGAATAAGCCCTTCAAGCAGATAGAACTCAAGGCGTTTCTGTTTGAGCATAAAATAGCTTTACTAGGCTGCCTTGAGACAAAGATAAAGCCTAGGAGTGTGACTAAAGTAAAAGAAAAGTTTAATAGAGAATGGAAGGTGTATTCTGATGAAGCAATAAATGAAAGGAGAAGGATCTGGATTTTGTGGAAAGAACAACTGGTGCAAGTCAATATAACCTTAGCAAGTGATCAATTAGTCCATTGCAAAGTAAGGGATAAAAGTACACATAATACGTTTGAAATTACTTTTGTATATGGGAAGAACACTGTTACAGAAAGAAGGAACTTATGGGATCAGTTAAGGAAAATTCGGAGTAATATTCAAGAGGCATGGTTGCTAATAGGAGATTTTAATAGTATGTTGTTTGTTGATGATAGAATTAATGGACAACCAGTACAACAAGCAGAATTGGTGGACGTTCAGAGATGTGTTGATGATATTGGGGTGGGACAGCTAAATAGAAAAGGAAGCAAATGGTCTTGGTGTAATAAGAGGGATGTAAATGACAGAATCTATAGTAATATAGACTGGGCCTTTGGTAATGCTGCTTGGCTGACAAAGTATAGTAGTGTAGAAGCTATATTTGAAACCCCAGGTGTTTCGGATCATTCTCCTATTGTCATTAACGCAATGGTAGTCAAGTCCTATATGCCTAAACCGTTTAGATTATACAATGTGTTATTGCATAATAAGGAGTTTGAACAAGCTGTTGAAGAAGCATGGGGGCAACATATAGAAGGATACAAAATGTATTCTGTATGGATGAAATTGAGGAGATTAAAAGATAAAGTGCTGAAGCTGAATAAGGAGATGTCATCATTAGAAAAGAAGTTGGATAGCCTAAGACAACAACTTAAGATCACTCAGGAGAAGCTTGACAAAGATCCATTGAATGATGTGTTAATTACAGAAGAAAGGAAATTGATAAGCCAGAAAATAAAATGGGAAGAAGTGAATGAGAAGGTGCTAAGATAGAGATCCAGAGCAATCTGGATAAAAGAAGGAGATCAAAATACCAAATTCTTTCATGCGCAGCTGAAGGCAAGACAAGCAAGAAATAGAATTGGTTCAATATGCAATGATCAAGGGGTCAGGATTACAGAGCCAAGAATGATAGAACAAGAATTCACAAGCTTCTTCCAATCCTTACTAGGAGAGTGTGCTGCAGAACTGACTTGTATAGATCTGGAAACAGCTAGGAAGGGCCCTTGTCTTACAAAAGAACAATAACAGGAATTGGTCAGACCAACAACATATCAAGATATAGAGCTGGCAGTTAAAGAGTTACCTAATGATAAAGCTCTAGGAGTGGATGGCTTCCCTGTAGATTTCTTCAAAATATACTGGAAACTTGTTGGAAGTGAAGTTAAACAAGCCATTAAAGATTTCTTTGATAATGGGAAACTGTTGAAAAGTATAAACTGTACAACAGTAACTCTAGTGCCCAAAGTGAATGGCCCTACATATGTAAAGGAGTTTAGACCAATAGCATGTTGCTCCATAGTCTATAAGATAATTGCAAAAATTTTGACAGTAAAGCTGAAGACAGTGGTTGATTATATTGTTGGGTCAGCCTAATCTGCATTTATAGAGGGGAGAAATATATTAGATAATGTGATCATAGCCCATGAGTTAGTCAAAGGGTATACAAAGAAGGGGGTATCACCAAGGTGTTTAATTAAGGTAGACATAAGAAAGGCGTATGATTCAGTCGAATGGCCATTTCTAAGAATGATTCTGCTTGAGTTTGGTATGCCTATGAAGTTTGTGTAGTTGGTAATGGAATGTGTAACAACAGTGAGTTATTCTCTATTGCTTAATGGAGGATTAACAACAAGATTCCAAGAAAAAAAGGGCTTAGACAAGGAGACCCGATGTCTCCTTACTTGTTTGTTTTGGTAATGGAGTACCTTAATCGATCATTGAAGACATTAGAAGGAATACCAAACTTCAATTACCATCCAAGGTGTCCCAAGCAGAAAATAACTCATATTTGTTTTGGAGATGACCTTATATTGTGTTGCAGAGCAGATAAGATATCAATTAGATTACTCATGAGCAGATTCCAACACTTTTCAGAAGTATCAGGATTGAAAGCAAATATGGAAAAAAGTGCCTTATACATTCCAGGAGTTTCAAAAGAATTTAAAGAAGAGATGATGACAGAGATGAAGTTTGGTGCAGGGAAGGTGCCATTCAAATACCTTGGAGTTCCATTGTCAGCAAAGAAGTTATCTATACAGCAGTGTATGCCGTTAGTAGAAAAGATTACTGCTCGACTCAAATGCTGGTCAACTAAATTTCTTTCTTACAGTGGTCGAGTACAATTGATTAAGAGTGTGATCTTCGAAATGCAAACCTAATGGGCACAGATTTTCTTACTTCCAACGAAGATATCTAAGCTGATAGTAAATGCTTGTCGAACATTTCTATGGACTGGGAACATTGAAACCTCAAGAAGAGCACTGGTAGCATGGGATAAAGTTTGTATGCCATACTCAGCAGGAGGATTGAATATAATTGACATAGTGAATTTGAATAAAGCTGCTCTTTGTAAGCTTCTTTGGGCAATTAATGAACAGAAGGACAATCTCTAGATACAATGGCTACATAGCTATTATATAAAAGGAAAGGAGATTATGTCAATTCAAACACCTAAACAAGCATGTTGGTTGATTAGGAAAATATTTGATAACAGAGAATGGTTGGTTAAAAGGGATCCAAGAGCTGATTGAACAAGTATTGTAGCAAAGGGAAGTTGAGTATAAAGAAAATATATGTTGCAACAATACCCCAATATCCTAAGTGTAGTTCGAAGAAGATAACAATTGGTTCAAACGCACTGCCAAGACATCAATTTATCTTGTGGTTGGCTATGCACAAGAAGCTCACAACAGTTGATAGATTAAGAAAATGGGGCATATCAGTAGCTACTGATTGTGTGCTGTATGAAAAATCTATTGAAGAAACAATGGAGCACTTATACTTTGAATGTGATTATTCCAGACAATTGTGGGCAACCCTGTTAAAATGGCTGGGGGAAACACATATCATAGGAGGCTGGAATGCTGAAACAGAATGGCTAGAAAAGAGAAGTTCATGCAGAGTTAAAGAACAATTGTTAAGGTTCCCAATATGCAGCTGTTGTGTATCATGTTTGGGCAGAGAGGAATCAAAGGAGATTTCAAGACAAGAAGATAACAAGCCAACAGAGGATGAAGACTATTATCTTAGAGCTTCATACAAGAGGGCAGTTGGAAATCAAATGGCAAAAGGAGATGGAAAAATTGAACAATTATCCTAGTTAGAGAATTAGAAAATGTATAACAAGAGTTAGAAATGTAAGAAGTCAGTGATTGTCAAATGTTTTTTTCTTTAGGAGAGACTAGTTCAAGAGTCCAAAAGAACTAGTGAGTTGTAAATATTATACTTGGTTGAATAAAAATTTGATAGTTTGACCAAAAAAATAGAGGTATGTTCAATTGGCCACACCGATCTAAGTTATGCTCTATGGGAGCTAACAAATATGGCTTAAGAGAAGGACATAATATCACGATCCGGCTGCGGTTAGAGTGACCCAAAATGGTGGATGAATTTTTTGCGTTAGTTGACATTGCCGAAGGATATTGCAAATGTGCTAATAGATCTCCTTGTGAGACACCCTGATGGTGCACTCTAAAATAGTACAGCTAGATATGAGTACTGCAAAGATCAGAACTGGAAACCTTGAAGGGATAAATATTATCTTAGTGTGGCTCCCGTTCCTTGTAGAGGGAGAATGTTAGGCAGCCCGATGAGCCAGTAGATGGAGCAAGGGGGAGGTAAAAAGCGAAAGAATGTCTTGTTGATGTTTTCAGAAGAAAGTGATAGATAGAAATATTAGCAGGGAAGTACGAAGAGGGATAATGAAGCATTATGAGTGAGATGTGATACATGGATAGCAACGGTAGAGTGTTAAATAATCTATAGTCAAATGAAGAAAGAGACGAAAGGTGATGGGCCATAACACAACAAAAAGAGTATAGGCCATACAGTTACATCCTCATTTCGACAAAATAAGTTTGCGACTCTAACGTGACTCACAGAAGGAAAAGTTAGCCCCAGAGTAATAGAAACCAGTATGGACTGATGAACAAGATAAACTAAATATGAATTGGGAACTGAGTGATTTGATAATACTCAGCATCATGAGAATTTCAGACTGCGTTCTGGCAATCTTAGAATGGACAACAGAAGAAGATCCATGATGTATTCAGAGAATGTTCATTCAGGAAGACGCTTCCCTAAAGCTAGCAATGTGAGCAAAGTTAAGCTTAGGGGACTGTATGTGCCAGTTACACTAAGTGTCACCATCGTGAGTGAGGAATTTTTGTTATCCTTGGTACAGAAGCATTACCACAAGGCGTGTAAGGTTCATCGATGATGTGAAAAGATGCCAAAGATGAAGAGATAAAACAACTATACGTAGATCACCGTAGCACTAAATCTTAGTACTCCCCTAAAGGGGGGAATATAGAGTGATGTGGCATTAAGTCACGATTAAGTGGTTCTAGTAACTATGGAATGGTAAAGGAAGAATGCGATAAAAATGAGAGAGGGATGAGATTGCACCTATTCAAAGCCTATAGATATGCTACGATTCTAGAACATTATGCAGACACGACGTCAAGGAGAGAAAGTAAGGGTTCCGGCCCCGGATGTTTTTGATAAATAAGGAGCCAGTGCCAGAGATAAGTTAAGACAAAAGAAATAACCCAAGAATGATTACGCGGAATACTGACACGAGAATGGGCCAAGGAGTAGTCAGTACTTGATTCAGGAAAAGCCTGGCTATGGCTAGATAAGAAGATGTAGACAAATCAACAGATCGTGCAAGATAAACATAGTAAACCCCAACATGAGGCATTCAGTGTGGCAGATATGGCATTGTAACCTTGAGAAATATTCAGATAGAAATTAGGGTAGTTAAAGGTGTCGTATGAGTGTTACGGAAACAAAAGAGAGTGCCACTGCGAAGTCAGTAAAAATATCAATCCAGAAGCAACCCTACAAGCACAAAGGCGTGGAGGTAAGTAACTACGGATGATTATAGGCGAGGAAGTACTTCAAAAATTCCGTCGAGTATACGATATATCAAGCTCACAACTTGATAAGAGTCAGAAGGTCTCCTTAAGTACTACAATAAAAGACAAGGTGAGAAAGTAAGGAAGAAAGCTTTAACCTAAGCTCAGTAACCTAAGGAGGAAATGGTCTTATAACAACAGTCTCACAACAACATTGTATGAACTCCATAAGAAAATGGCACCTACCGTGGCTAATGAACGGGGAGTAAAATCAGAAGTGATATGCAAGATCATATGAGTTGTATGGAATTCCAATATGTATGGGCACTAAGGTAAGCTAAGTATGCACGCAACAAGGGGCATGAAGACTAGGAAAAGTAATTGCTTAAAGCTGAGAAGGAGCGAAAAGAATTATTCGATTAATGATCCGGAGTTAGTTAAGTTATGAACGCACTTAAGAGTTCGGAGTATTATCCATGCAACATATATGTTGAAAATCATACAGCCGTAGAAGACTCCGGTATAAGTTAAAAGAAAGAATTAAGTCCATGTCATAGAAAAAGGATCGAATTGTTAGAAGATTGTATCATAGATATTCCATAGCATCCATGAAAGGTTAATGTAATAACCAATAACATGAACCGACGATCGAAAGATAGCTTAAGCCTACATAAAAGTTTATCAGAGGGAAGAGGATACTAAAGATTTACATCAACTAAGTAAATCAGGAGTCTGATTATTGGACCCAAAAAATTATAGACCTCGTGATTGAGAACATTGTAGGATCACTCTTAATATCAAAGGTAAAAGAGAGATAGTACAGTAGCCATATTCTAAAACGGCTCTAAGATAAAGCCAGTTAGAAGAGTACCAGCCTTATACGAAGTCAGTGTGAAGCTCCCACCGGATTATGTATGCACCAGAGGTGCTAGTGTTATAATGGAGCTTCAAGTTATGGACATGAATTATGCCTATGTGTAAGGAGGTCATGAAAGAGATAGAAGATACGATGCAAGATTTTAAGGTAGTAAGGTAAAGGTGAACAACGTACGAGATACAAAAATACAGAAGATTGTGAATAGTCCATACTTAGGATAGAAGGCTAGAAGCGCAGGGATTCAGTATCTAGGAAGGATAGCGGTGTCATTAGTGGCATATCTTCTAGCATATGGTTTCTAGGTATCGACAGGTCTAGTTAAAATAGTAAAGTAGAGTTTGAGACGATGTGATGTCTCGCTTAACATTCCAGAATAACATAAGGAAATTTATGGTGCAAGCAAGTTGAAGGAAGGTTGCGAGCAGTATAAATGGATATGTGTCGGTCGCAAGCTAATGTATGGTAAAGCAACAAAGTTTTAGGAAGACACGAATAAGGACAAGAAAGGGCGAATGAGAAGGTGACGAGAAACGGGTAAGTTCTCGGGATTAAGCCCGTGAAAACAAGAGAGCTAATGATTTCTCGAAGTTATCAAAAGCTCAATATAGCCTGAATGAACTCAAAGAGTTACTCATCATAAATAGCATTTAAAAGAGATGGAATGTTGCCCTAATAGTAGAATAAGGGTGTAATTGTGGTAGATAAAGGATGACGTTTGGGCCTTCGATTGAGTAATGACTTGAAGAGGATTTCATGAATCGTACAGGATTAAAATACCCATGTAAGGTGAGTCATATTGCTATGCTACAAAATACGGTTATGGAAGTATAGTATCGCCCCTAGGTGGATCAATCTAATTAGTCCAGATGTCCCTGATGGTAAGCCCTAGCGGCAATGTTACATAAGTGATCAAGTTATCAGTGGTAGATGATAGATCAACATCAAGGTGAATCAACAATGGATGGACAAAGGTCACAAAGTATGAGGTGAGATTATACCATCATTCTTAAGATGAACAGTAATGAAGAAGCATTAAAGGACTTAGATGTATACATATATGATAAGCAGCAAGAGAGTAACCTGGAGTTTGGTAGCAGACCTCAGTAACGATAAATCGAAGTAAGAGTTATCGTACAGTATGACCTACCTAGATGCAGTAAAATCATGCGGATGGATAAAAGGGTCTATGAAATAAGATATAGCAATATTTGTAAGTTCGACAAAGTACCGAGCGAAGAACTTTAGTAATGGCTAAAAATCAGAGGAAAAGGAAAGAAGAGTCGCATAGGCGTACTTACAAGGTCAGAGTCGTACAGGCTGCATGATAGAAGGTAGCAACAGTTACGAGATTAGGAGAATTCCGACCACAAGTCGTGGTATGAAAAAGAGGCCTAAAGTAGGGAATGCCTTGGCCTTTGGATTTATTCAAAGAACAGTTGCCTAAATGGAAGGGAGAAAACTAACGTATTTGCAAGAGATATGGGTTATGAGAATGATAAGTGCATCAGTCAACATTCGAGGATGAATGTTCCAAAGGTGGAATGATGTTACGCCCCGCAGTATTACGTCGATATTACGTCCCGTAGTATTATATTACGATGATGTTACACCCCGCAGTATTATATTACGATGATGTTACGCCCAGTATTACATTACG